ATATTGGTTCTCATCATTCTACAACCTATAACCATGTAAGTGTGTCGTTTTACATTTCATCACATCAGTACTAACCTACATTGTATGTACCAGCACTGACCAAATACCCGTAAGATACCAGATGCTGCATTGGTCAAGTAATCAGTGCCAACTATTTGAGTGTGTATGGAAAATGTGCCTCAGAAAACTATCCACGATCTTTTTTTCCAAAACGCAAAATGTGTCATTTAGATTGCACCACCGATAGCCCACGCAAAAATGTCCTATTCCTAGATTAAAGTATAGCCAGGAATTCAAAAAGAAAACGTTTTTGTCTCCCAAAGGCAAAATATCAGGAAGGCATCAGACTGTTTAGACGTTTTCCCGACTTCTGGCTAAATCAGTGTTGAATGTTGGCAACACATTTACAGTGGTCGTTTGAGACGAATTAGATACGTGGCGCTGGTCGGTTTTCTGTACACAAGATTCACTAACAGAAGTAGCATATAATCGAACCCTCTCAGATGGCAGTTCCACCAGTCGCTTTCAGAAGTCTCATCACTTCCCGAGCTGTTTCTAGCAAACTGTTCCCACATTTTTAGATCACCAGTGAGTTTGGGTGGCTGAAGGTTTCATCACTTTCCGAGCTGTTTCCATCAAACTGTTCCCACATTTTCAGATCACCAGTGAGTTTGGGTGCCTGAACATTGTCGGTGGCGGTCACGCCGTCAGTTTAGATCCCGATGGCTTCACTGAGTGTTGAGATGTTGGTATCTCAGACAATGTGATGTAATATTCATAGGTCCATCCCTCCATCCCACTTTTCCATTTCTATTGTAAGCCTTCATTGAAAAAAACTGGCATGGGTGTTTAGGAGTTAATCCCTAAATCTTTCATCTGGTTTTGCCGTCAGTGATTGTTTGACGACGATGGGCAGTATTCGTGTGCCAAACTATGAGGTCCTTCTTTCGTTAATCGACCCGGCACTTTGTAACAAACCTGTTCTACTTTGTAATTACTTATGGAAGTCTACAGCCAAGTTACTAAATTTTACAGAAAATGCGTTCCACCGTTCACTGTGGGCCAAAACTAGCCGCAGTAATTGCAAAGCATCTAAAATATCCATTTGCATCTCTGTGCAATATTTTGGTTATTTTATTGATCAAAATAAAGTGACAAAATCGGTTGGCGGCAAAATTAAAATACACCATTCAAGAAGTTGCAACATGTCATAGGAGGACAGCGATTCCACTAGGTATGGCATCTATTTGTCTGGAATTCTGCGCGTGTTCCCGCTGTGTTTTGGAAGATCCATCGTAAAATTATGAAGTAGCATCTCAAACTGCACTCTCTTTCATCATATTAAAACTCCCAAGTCGCAACGAAAACGCCCTTGCTTCTTATTTTCTCCATACAGTCATGCACCTGAGTTTTTGTGTCAGATGACCGACTGGAGAACCAAATCTCTCAAACTTATTTTACGCAACATCCTCGTCACCGAAATTACTATTAAAATAAAATACCAATGCTTACTTCCAGAATACCATATCAATTGAGTCAATTGACACAGGTAAACCACGGCATCAAGGACGAGAATCGGATGAGAGCATGACTAGTGCCTGCACCTCAAAAACGTACCTACTTCTCCAACATTTAGTCAAATAGTCGAGAGAGCGTAACCACCCTAACCAATGGTGTGACTTGACGTGCCGAAAGCTAACGATGTTGAACGATGCTTCGTGTCGAATGAAGGATTCAACAAAAACCTAATTTTTGACGGTGCGTTGATTCAATGGCCTAAACTGGAATGCGCCACATAAGCTAGCGAATATGTTGTGTTTATTTTCACCCCCGGTCACGACCTGCACCAGTCGCTACCTACAAAACGCACCAACCCCCAAGTAAGTGGTCTGACCTACTTTGGGAAGAAGCTGCCTTCCAGGTCTTATCTTCCGAGTGCACACAACTGAAATTAGGCTATCGGATTATCTGGTATGCCCTCTACTAGTACACGTTAATGAGGGAGGGCCTTATCCCGGAAAGCTGAAATTTCAGCAGAAAATTTGCGTCGTTTTGTATGACCTGCTCCTTGCAGGCGAGGGTTTTGCACGGGGTAATTACTGAGCATCAAATTTCAGTTGTTTCTTATTTATTTTCGGGATCCTTAGAATTTGAANACTCTGAATTGGGCATGGTAAACAGCACTGTCTTTGGCAAGCGATAGTTCAGCACAAGCAATATATGGCCCGACCAACTCAGCTTCCGGTGCTGAACATGTTATTTAACGGAAGTCACTATTGCACAACGAAAATTTGCTTTTCGCTTGCGTGGTTGCGGATTCATTGACACACACCCACACGAGCCATGGTTCTGAGACAATAGCTGTCGAGCAGCTGAAGACACCTCGGTTCCGCTGATCAAACAGGCCAAGCCTCACAACCGTGTGGTTTGTACTGTAGCCTTATACACACGTCCCTGGAGACTGAGGGCCATCACGAAGAGACTGAACCTTACCATGGTGTGACGGTTTGCGCATCTCAGCAACCCCTCGGGCTATACTGGAAGGTGTCCTCGGGACACTCAAGGAGTCACTCATACCAGATTGGTCAATTGTTAGAGGTCTGACAAATACATTCCCCTGGTCCTCCTGGTCGAGGGTTGAGACACATGATGACTCGTTCCGTATTAATGGTAATGCGCTTTTATCTCCCACCAAACACCGCTGCTTTGCGGTAAGGCTTTTGCGTCAAGGGATTTGGTCGAGGGCCCAACTCGTCCTCCTGTCTAGGTGTAGGCGCCCTGACAGTATCTTAGCCAGTGTACATCCATAACGCTTACAACTAACAATATTTTCACACCTAATCAGCCGTCGTGTGGTGCCATTAGCCGAGTCACCTTAATCGCTGCACACATCAGGGGGTCAGCGGAAACAAGCTACTGCTGACACCTCTATTCTTCCCCTTTCATACATTTTTTCTTCCCCCACCCCATTACCAACCCTTTCCTTGTAGGCCTAGCACTTTGGGCTGATGAAGTCGTTCGCAGAACGTGCTCGTCATATGGCGCCGACATCCTCAGGTATCTCCAAATCAATTCTCAAGTCTAGACACCTAGTATGTTTAGCCACCTTTGACGTCCGCACTCTGAAACAAGTAAGACAACAAGCCGTCTTGCTCCCACACTGGACTCTCTTGGCATTGAAGCCTACCGTGTCACAGAAACAAGCACTTAAGATGCAAGCACAATGGTTGGGCTAAACGTCCATCAGTCTCCACACGCTGCTAGCTACGCACGTCTGGTGATGCAGAGGCTGCTGCGGCCGGATGTGCAGGGGTTGATGTAGTCCTAAGTCACTTGGCGGAAGTATTCTTGTTTGACTAAATACCTGTTGATAGTCGGTTCCGTGGACCGTCTGGCATCGCCCATGAAGGAGCTTCACAAGCGGAAAGTCGACCGCTGTCTGTTTATCGTGTCTGCTTATGCCCCGACTGACTGTAGTTCCGACGCCGTTCCGACACACTAAATGATCTGTTGCGGTGAGCTAAAAGCTCAGATATCGTGGTGGTTGCCGGAGATTTGAATGCACAAGTGATCAGTCTTAGCCTTTTGGAGACTCAGTTGGGAGGTCGGCATGGATTGGACTCGGCACGTACGGACAATGTGGAACGATTGCTTCAGCTGTGTGCTAATCTCAGCCTGTTTTATGCGGTACGAACTTCTGAAATATCCGTATTCATCTGGTCACATGGTGCCCTCCAATGGCAGGCCGGTCACAAACTCAAATCGATCACATTGTCACCAACTATCGATAGCGTGGATCAATAACTGGCTGCCGGTCGTTTTGGAACAAATTTGTGGGTTTCGACCACACGCTCGTGCGAGGTGGCTGCTCCTCACGTTTTCCGGGTTCACGTAAGGTGCGGACAAATCGCCTGGCAGCGGAAAGACTAGCAGATCCGAATGTTAGGCAAGGCTACCAGAGTCGTCTTCTAGAATCCCTTCCAAATGCTCCACCATCAGATGTGAACTCATACTGGGACGAGATTGCCACTTCTTTGCATAGTGCTGAAAATTTTGCCTGTGGCATAGCACCAGGCTTATTCAAACCCCGAATATCAGACCAAAAGCTGGAACTGCTTAAATCTCGGCGAAATATCCCAACCGACCCAGAAAATAAATTGGTGCAACAAATTATCAGAAGTCAAGGAAAGCTGAGCGTGCAAGCCGACTGTGAGGTGTGGTGGACATAGAAAGCCAAGGAAATGGAACAGTCCAGAAAGCCACCAAATCCCGAATATTATTTCGGTTGATTCCTTCAATTGTTCCCGAAGACAACCCATGAACGAAACCATCGATAATCAGAATGGAACGGCCATCTCGAATAAAGAACACCTTGACCATTGGACCTAATACTTTGAACGACATTGGTCGTGGCCACCAGCTGCCACTCATCTGAACCCCACATGTGACGTAGAATCCTAGAAGGTGAACCTGGAACCACCTATGGCCTCGGAGTTTCACGACTGCATATGTTCTCTCAAGTGCCACCGAGCTCTTGTTTTGGATGCTCTCCCACCAGCGTTGTTCAAAATGGGGGTGAAGTCCTCAATCAGTGCTTGTCTGCTCTGTTTGCTTGTCCTTGAAAAAAGGAGTCTGTTCCAGGCAACTGGAGAGCGCCAGTAACAGTGCATATCTTTAAAGAAGAGGCCTGTAGTGAGTTGGGACCCTGATTAGTCGCAGGCTGACAAAAGTTGAAAACGAAATGTCTGAAAATAGAAGCGTAGAACATTCGTGTACTTATGTAACCGACTCCCGAGTGATACATACTGGAACTTCCCGATTCGTTGCAGTACAGAAACCGCCAGCTTTGGCCACACTTTACCCGGTAATATCAGAAGAAGCATTCAAATCTTTCTGTACCTTAAAAATGTCTTATATCAGTATCAGAATACATGATTGGTGTTCATATTCACAAAACTGATTGTCATCGCCTTTCTCTAAACCGGCCGAGTATGTGCAGTTTAAGAGCATTTCCACACGAGGATGGCCAAATTTCCGCCACTAAACATGTACAAAAGATTGTTCACTTCGTGGGTTATTTCAAAACCGAAGTCTTCTCCAATGAGTACATGCCACGCCGAACCAAATTTTTTATCCACGTTTTCTTTGACAAACCGAGCCGCAGCCTGTTGAAAGTGAACAATAAGCATAAGACTACTTTACTATCTTTTCGAACAGCATGATACAGAGGAACAGAGATGGTTGCATTCATATGCACCGAAATGTGCTTGACATGGGAATAAAGACATGAGACGAGAACCGGTGAATACAGCATCTTGAAGAACTAATGACCCACAAGGGACTCGATGTTGCTCGTATTTATGTCCACCACAAGAAAATATGGTTCATTAGTCCCTCTATAAAGTCAAAGCAACGTCAAAAAGTCGGGAATCAATGCATGACATCTTTATCTTTGCCAGGGATTAACAATGGTGTGCAAATCACGTATTCAGAATGATTTGAACAGGTGAAGTTTTGCTTTGTGGATTAACGTGATATCAGTCAACCACCACTATCTGATCAACAGTATCGCAGAATTTCATCTAGACAGGATGAAAGCCCACTGTGCTACATTCATCCCGTTTATGCCATGTGATCCGGTATTTACTAGCCTCTCTAGAGGTAAATTTCGGGAGAAACGTCCATTAAGTTGGTACAGTTTCGTCCCACATTATCGGCTTTCTTGCAGCACAAATAAGCAGCCAATATTGGTTCTCATCATTCTACAACCTATAACCATGTAAGTGTGTCGTTTTACATTTCATCACATCAGTACTAACCTACATTGTATGTACCAGCACTGACCAAATACCCGTAAGATACCAGATGCTGCATTGGTCAAGTAATCAGTGCCAACTATTTGAGTGTGTATGGAAAATGTGCCTCAGAAAACTATCCACGATCTTTTTTTCCAAAACGCAAAATGTGTCATTTAGATTGCACCACCGATAGCCCACGCAAAAATGTCCTATTCCTAGATTAAAGTATAGCCAGGAATTCAAAAAGAAAACGTTTTTGTCTCCCAAAGGCAAAATATCAGGAAGGCATCAGACTGTTTAGACGTTTTCCCGACTTCTGGCTAAATCAGTGTTGAATGTTGGCAACACATTTACAGTGGTCGTTTGAGACGAATTAGATACGTGGCGCTGGTCGGTTTTCTGTACACAAGATTCACTAACAGAAGTAGCATATAATCGAACCCTCTCAGATGGCAGTTCCACCAGTCGCTTTCAGAGGTTTCATCACTTTCCGAGCTGTTTCCATCAAACTGTTCCCACATTTTCAGATCACCAGTGAGTTTGGGTGCCTGAACATTGTCGGTGGCGGTCACGCCGTCAGTTTAGATCCCGATGGCTTCACTGAGTGTTGAGATGTTGGTATCTCAGACAATGTGATGTAATATTCATAGGTCCATCCCTCCATCCCACTTTTCCATTTCTATTGTAAGCCTTCATTGAAAAAAAAACTGCCATGGGTGTTTAGGAGTTAATCCCTAAATGTTTCATCTGGTTTTGCCGTCAGTGATGGTTTGACGACGATGGGCAGTATTCGTGTGCCAAACTATGAGGTCCTTCTTTCGTTAATCGACCCGGCACTTTGTAACAAACCTGTTCTACTTTGTAATTACTTATGGAAGTCTACAGCCAAGTTACTAAATTTTACAGAAAATGCGTTCCACCGTTCACTGTGGGCCAAAACTAGCCGCAGTAATTGCAAAGCATCTAAAATATCCATTTGCATCTCTGTGCCATATTTTAGTTATTTTATTGATCAAAATAAAATGATAAACTCGGTTGGCGGCAAAATTAAAATACACCATTCAAGAAGTTACGACCTGTCATAGGAGGACAGCGATTTCACTAGGTATGGCATCTATTTGTCTGGAATTCTGCGCGTGTTCCCGCTGTGTTTTGGAAGATCCATCGTAAAATTATGAAGTAGCATCTCAAACTGCACTCTCTTTCATCATATTAAAACTCCCAAGTCGCAACGAAAACGCCCTTGCTTCTTATTTTCTCCATACAGTCATGCACCTGAGTTTTTGTGTCAGATGACCGACTGGAGAACCAAATCTCTCAAACTTATTTTACGCAACATCCTCGTCACCGAAATCGCCATTAACGTAAAATACCAATGCTTACTTCCAGAATACCATGTCAATTGACACAGGTAAACCACGGCATCAAGGACGAGAATCGGATGAGAGCATGACTAGTGCCTGCACCTCAAAAACGTACCTACTTCTCCAACATTTAGTCAAATAGTCGAGAGAGCGTAACCACCCTAACCAATGGTGTGACTTGACGTGCCGAAAGCTAACGATGTTGAACGATGCTTCGTGTCGAATGAAGGATTCAACAAAAACCTAATTTTTGACGGTGCGTTGTTTCAATGGCCTAAACTGGAATGCACCACATAAGCTAACGAATATGTTGTGTTTATTTTCACCCCTGGTCACGACCTGCACCAGTCGCTACCTACAAAACGCACCAACTCCCAAGTAAGTGGTCTGACCTACTCTGGGAAGAAGCTCCCTTCCAGGTCTTATCTTCCGAGTGCACACAACTGAAATTAGGCTATCGGATTATCTGGTATGCCCTCTACTAGTACACGTTAATGAGGGAGGGCCTTATCCCGGAAAGCTGAAATTTCAGCAGAAAATTTGCGTCGTTTTGTATGACCTGCTCCTTGCAGGCGAGGGTTTTGCACGGGGTAATTACTGAGCATCAAATTTCAGTTGTTTCTTATTTATTTTCGGGATCCTTAGAATTTGAAACCTGTCGCATTTACCTACTGCATCATTCTATCCCAAAAAAGGTATACTGCAAAGAATGACAGTGTAAACTTCCAAATAAACCGTGTAAGATCCAAAACAGAGCTTTATGTATCTGCAAAAACACCTTGTCGCTTCCATGAAACAAGAAATTTATTCGTAACATAGATCTTTCCTTTATGTGTTATATTTTGAAAAGGTCTCTAGAAATATGGCTAATCCCACTCCTTCTTAATATTTCCACTCTACACCACTCAAAACATTTCTACGTAGACGGCAGAGATATGTTTCAAATTTTGTACAATGCGGTCGAAATAATCACGGCGTTTCTAATCTAAAATGTTTATCTAGGTGCATCACAAGAAGAGCATTCGAACCTAATAAGCTGGCAAAACAGCTCCGCAGAGAACCTAGGGCTACGGGAGTGATAATTTTCGGACAATGTATATGTTGGTCTCTGGCCACATATACACTGATGCAGATCACTTTGGCTGTCAGGTTTAGACTGAGGAGAATAAAAGTCAAATTACAGAGTCTTCAACTCACTTCATTATCCGTTGGAAATTTCTCACAACCTGTCACACACAGCTCGGTAACTTCAGCCTTCATGTCCTCATACATGTCGCATTGCTGCGAAAATAACCGGAGAGTGGAAAGTCATTCTAGTTATTGCATGCACTGTCTCGTTATGTGTCTCATTAATACGGTTTTGAACTTTCCTACCACATAACCTGGAAAAGCCACATCAACCACATATTCAGGATAGAGCCAAAAAACTGGATCCAATAAAATTTTGCAGGACGCGTTCTGCAAATAATTTGCGCTCTGTATGTGACTCGTTGTGCATTTACATGATGCTATTTGATCCTTCACCTGTAGAGGCCAATACCAGTAATGTTTCTGAATATGGTCGAATATGATTTAAAACTTGAGTATCATCATCGGCGGTATGACATCATTGTCAGCTATGATGATTCGCTGCCATACAGCAATGGGTTACTTGGATGCTCCATGTGAAGGAAATAATAACAGAGGAATTTGGAGGATCCTGATGATTTCAAGAGGCCTACACTCTCAAATGCTCATTCACATTATCTGGATAACAACCGACAACAAGAACGCCACTAAAATCAAGTAGCAGCCATATATTGTAGCAGTAGGAATCACGTGGTTCAATACTGGTAGGCTAGTCGCAGCCATAACATCCAGACGTTTCGTGATATCTTTCACACATATCTGCCAG